ATAGAAAACCATATTAATATTAAGACCTTAAATTAATCTGTCACACTATGTAATTCGCAGATTTATAAATGTACTACAATCGTTAGCATTACTATTAGACGGTGTACTAGTTCATACGGTCAAAAAGGACAACGGGCCATAGGAAATGGGTAAACAAAAGTTAAAGTACTTAGACGGTTTGAGAATGTTTAACCAAAGCTTCTTTAAACGGTGGCGTTGTTATTATTGTTCTCCTTCATAGAATTTTTCAAAGACTAAGGCTAACCTAACCGCTTGGATACGCACCATTTTTATTCTGCAATCAAGCTCTAAAATAACGTCATGCATGATAATCTTTCGATATGATTGAGCGTTATTAAACAGTGGAGAAATAAGTATGCTCAATGAATACTTAATTCTGAATCACTCGCATTTACTTCAACAGGTGATAACTGTTACTCCTACGGATTACACAAAGTTGAAGCACTCTAGTCTGAATTAGTCACGGCTTAGTATGCAAGCTTTTTTCGAAAATTACGCAATTTAATAATGTTAATATAATTTGCTTCGCGTTTTCTTCGGCTGATTTCATTTGGTGGCGGCAGTTGGTCATTATTCTGTCTATTCTTTATCGAGACGATTTTTCGCTTAAATAGTTAGCATCATGAAGTAAAGTGCTGTACTATTTTTTCCTATTCGATTCATTCCATTAAACTTCCATTTCGACAGAATCGTAGTCAAGTACTAGTACCCTAAGACCAATATTATTGTACAAAATCTTGATTCAATATCAGAAAGGATTGACCTTACTTTTTTAAATCATACATCGCCAACATTATATATCCGACTACTTAACGCAAACAAAATTATCTTCTCTTAGTCTAAACGTAGGCAGTTCAACCATACATTCGGCTATACGGATCCACCGACAGAAGCTGGAAATCAAACTCTGACAAGTTCAATAGCCAATTAGCTAAATCGAACCTCTTGATGAAATCTTAACGGTCTCAGTTTCTCTATTTGTTTTCTTTCAACTATTTGCATGGCTCCACAACAGCACTCAAGTGTTTGGAAGCATAAATGTTATTTAGCACAATACTTCCTTATATGTGGCCAATACAACCAATTTTCCTTAGCCAACCGAGCAATAGTTTAATTGCTATCCAATAGTTTATCTTATTACCATTACTTGCACTTACCTTGCCATGCTACGGGCTAAATTAACGCAAATTCTGTTTCAATTCCATCCAATTCTTTTCGAGCTATCTAAGACTGCTAATTGAGTTACTGGGCTATTAAATGGCTAATCCATAATTTTGGGTACCCGTGTTGTATGAGAAATTCTTGGTTGTCTTGCTAGAACGTCGATTCTTTCTATTCTTTCTCATAACAATAATGCCATTTGCATTATCAAAGAGAAAAATCTTATGGTAAGGTGTACTATTCATAAATATCTGTGACGATACATTTTATTCTCATTACCTATAATCTAGGGTATCAGCAATGAAATACTATCCGTTCATGTATGGAATAACACACTACTGGGTATCTTGCTACACGCCTTCTATGCACCAGATGTAACCAGCATCACGTACTCAATTTCCTCTTCAGAATTTGTCGGTACATAAAACGTACATATACGATTCCATAATAAATAAATCCAAATACTTGTTGCCCATATTCCAATTAAGAGGTCGAGGTGCTTGAGCTTTTATTTGGTTAGTTGTCATAGGTTATTAAACCGTAAAACGAGAGGCATGCGGCAAGAACTTTTTGAACCACCCACGTATTTAACTTTGAGACATCTGTCAATTGGAACTCCGACTCGATAATTATTTTCGAATTGGAAAAAAAAATTTTTTTTAAACTAATATACGGTGTATAACCTAGAACTAGGATCAATATAAAAATATTGCCATGTCAGCCATTGTTAGAGATGGGTATATCCGAGCTCAGTCAGTATAATTCCAAGCTGCTTAACAAACTTACGGGCGATAGAAAGAGGAATCAAGCGCGAAAACGCCTTCAAATTCAGTGAACAGGTAAGCATATTGACTCCTCAAACACGTGACCGGCGGATAGTCGCAACTCTAGACTCATCAAACCGAATTTCACTAGATAGGCTGAAGCACGAAAGTTAGTTAAATCAGTCTTGAATGAAAATTCTGGGTCTTCCAAGTTCTCTCGGCTTTGGAGAAAACTGCAAAGTCTTTATGCTCCTAATAATAATACTGATATTACGACAAAAGCCAATGATTGTAGCGATAAAAAGTAGAAACTCACTTATTGACAACATCGCCATCCTTCTTTACCTGTCTATCTAACCAGTTATACTGTATATTATTATTATTGCAATCCTAAGACGTCTTGGAAGGAATCCAACTTTCCTAATCCCATGGCAGAGAATTATGATACTTTATCCATTTAATAGCTAACCAAGAACTCGTATAACATCCAATAGTCTCATGATCAATACCAGTAGTACAACCTAACAAGCTAAAAGTACATCATCGTTTGACACTCTTTAGCTTGCATACCAATGGTCGTAAATCTGTCCTTCAGGGTTAGACCAAGTTTACTGCACTGTTTATGCATAATTGCATGGATATAGGGTTTGTGCAGATACTCGTGAACCACGTGGAAATTTTAGGCCCAGTCGCTCAATATGCACGAATAAAAGGCTTCTACAACTTACGTTTTTCCTAGATTGCAAGTACAACAGATCAATTACATACCATTCAGATATAATTCCAAGCGGTTCATTTTATATCTATCTTATATTATTACCCCCTGGTGAAGTGAATCTCGATGTCGACATAATTCTCGTAAAAGTTTAGCAGCGTAACGACTGCTAATGATGGCTATCATCCAAATCTATCTTACGTTGAAGCCATAAACACTAGTAAAATTGTCAGTAAGTGTTATGTTCGAAAATGTTACCCAAAACTTTGTATGATGGGCCCTGCTGCAGTTAGCAAAAATAATGTCGGCGAGATGACAATTCGCTTTTCTAACTTTCGTGCTGAAAACACCCAAGCAGGTAAATTAGGACTCAAATGTACAACAAGTTCGCGTGCAGCGCTTTGCCACAATCCAACATCTGTCTGTCCTCTTGAACTTGTCGTCCACTTCAATGAGCCTCTTACTAGTGCACTTATATAATTCAGCGTAAGAAATTCGATAATTACTATATTTGAATAATCAATTACATACGTGTTGCAGTGAGCTGCAAGTACTATCTCTCTGTTGTCCCTTCAGCCGGCCTCTTAATACTCAGCGATGATGTAGTGTTTGTTTAATATTAACAAAAATGTCGATAATTGCTCCTTGACTCATTGGTGCTTCTATTGGGTAGACGCATAAAGCTCACAGTAAAACTATTGCAACCGTTGACTCTATGCTTATTATATTGCTAACTGAACTCTCGCATATGAAAAATAATCTATGAATTTTTTGCTTTGATTCGAGCTTGACCCGGCCTCTTTCAAATACTGTCATTGTTAATTTGACATCATAGGCATTTTTCGTTGTTAATAGCCATTTATATTGACCTTCGCTTGTATAATACGCGGCATAAAAGAAGTTGCGAGGATGGAATAAAATAAAATACACCACAATTGAAAATACAGATGTTTGGGTAATGATACAAACGCATCTGGTTTACCGGTTAAACTTGTCTAGACATCTCTATTCTCGAAACAAGTGTTCTTTGCTCTAGTTCTGGTCAAAGTCTGCAACAATGGCAACAAGAATAGTAAGGGGGGGTCAGTGCTCCTATGTGATATGTCGAATTTTAAGCCACAACATGCCAGAAACGTCGAATGTCAATACTGTGGCGTTATAATCCCGGAGAAGAACTCCGCTTGGTAGAATCGTTGCAGACCGGCAGAGAGGGGTCAAGCTTTTGTTTCAAAATGTCGCGCACGCATACCAATTACTAATAATAATAATATATCAACTGTGCAATGTCAACTGAAGATTTATTTTTTTTCTAGTTTCCTGCGGCGTATCAACAATCGTACTTCGCACGCCCTCTCTATCGTTTCATTTGTTAATGCACTTCATTATCTTTATGACAGTATTTTCTGCTTTTAGCGAAGACCGTCTATGCAATGCATAACGATAAGCCTAAAATATCACAAGTCACAAACTGGCTAATTCATTAGACTATTTAAGTATGAGTGACGCCATATTTGGCATATCAGTAGGTTGTTTGTGGTTAGACTGCGGGGAGAACACAAAGAGAACGAGCTGCCGCCGATGATGTAATGACAGTATCCTAAAATTATGAATGGCATGCATTGATACCAATGCGGCAGGGTAGCTATTACTATAGCCATATATATTATGCACTATTTTATGGATGGTATTTCCTATCTTATCGTTATTCTCTCTGCAAGGCGTCTGGGCTACATCGTCTTTCTCCTCGGTGCAACAACGAATGCGTCTGAACAAAAAACGTGGACCATCCAATACTCTTGCTGCAATCAGGTGTAGGGGCATTATTAAAACGTCATTTTAATAATGAACACCCCGCCACACATTGATGATCTTATCAGTTTCCCCTTTTTTGCATTGTGCAATCAAATTGCAATACATGAACAACTGATTTGTTTTTACTTTTCTCACTATTGTTTGTGATAATCTAAGTGTTACGTTCTTATTTTATCATCTCTGGCCAAAATGATTCACACGTACAAGTGGACCACTTAAAATGAGTATGGATGACGAACAAAAAGCCCATTAGAGGGAACATATATACATACAATACAATATGCCGAAATTAGATTATGGTTACAACGTATAAAAAATGTATAGTTTAGATTATCTCCTTTTACAAATGTACGGCGTATATGTGTGATATACGTCTGTACAGATATATGTGCAAGTTGCACAATGATAATAATTATACGATTATTCTATAACATTAGTCAATTATATAATGAATCCATTTCACTTAAAAACCGCTCAACTCGTACCGTATCTCTCTACTACTACTCCCCGCCTCACAACCACAAACAATGGACGTATACACTCACACTCAATACCAACAATCATCAAACCATATCCACGCCCGTAGGGCTTTCGAATACAAACAACAATATCGCCCAGCAGTATTCAGAAGAGGAGCAGCAATACAATGCGGCTATACAAACAGCAAGGAAATTGATGAAACAATAGTCCTCGTCTCGGGCATGCCAACCGAACCACCAACAAGACGACATTGGAAGGTAATCATCAAAGCAAGAGAGAGATAACAATAAATAACACAGATAGTTTCATGGAATAAAAATTGTGCACTATCTGTGTCTTGACGGACATTTACCTTTTCCTCATCAAACAGCCGGATTCAGCAGTAACGAAATGTTCGATGCAATATTGTCATCGGGAGTTTGGCTTATTCGAAAGACGGCATCATTGCCGGCGGTAAATATTATTCCTCATTTAACGATACATACATGGTTATTCTTATTGCATCATAATGTTTACTAAACATCTGACCCGCTCGTTCTTGCTCCCTATCCTGTTTCATAGTTGCGGCGATATCTTCTGTGGCACCCACTGTTCCCATTATATTCGTCTCGACCAAAATGTCAATTTTAATTTGGCTGGATTTGCATCGAGAGTGTGTGACAGGTGCTATGGAGTATACATACGAGCGCTAGACAAATGCCGCGCAGGCTCATACCACTGTGACGAATATGGCGAAGAAGATGGATACATACAGAAAAAGATATATCAAAGAGAATATGAACAGAAAAGTTCCAAGAAAGATCAAGCGGACAATGGGCGGGAAAAGACAAACCATAGTAATAATAACAACAACATCAACGACTTGTTAGAAAGTTATTTGAGAAAGTGCGGAAGATACGCAGATGAGCCGTATGTCGAAGGTAAACAAACACATTCATTACGAACATAAACTGTTTGCTCCTTATTTGCCTTTTTGGGCCTCCGTTATATCAATGACGTGCATCGTCTTTATTTCTTATTATTTCGTCTTTTTGTTTTTATATAATGCACATTCGTTATACCAAAAATATTATGCATGCCCCTATTAACCAAAATTTCGCATATCTTATCAGATCACAACAACAGGATTAGTGGACACCGGCTTTTGAGTAAGTATTAAGGGTGTGGGAACACCAGGAACAATTTTATCCCGTTTAACTATCACAAATAAGGTACTCATTGTGTTTATCACTATATTCAGCACAATCAAACTTTGTAGTAGCAGCCCCATCTGATTGGGCGTGGTCAACGTTCTGATAAAGAATATTGGAAATCATGAAACAAGCTTATATTTCAACGAGAATACCACGTGCGAGTTTGAAGCAAATCAAAAAGACAAAAGAACGAACGGACACTTTAAAAAAACCAAACGGCGGAGGCAATTCCATAAGCATGAAAATATTCTCGCACGGGGGAGATATGGAACAATCATTTTTCAATGACTCGTATAGAAAAAGAATACAAATGAACTAGAGAATGCTTCCAATGCCTTTTGGTTCCATGCAATTGTAAATAGAAAAAAAATCGCATCATTTTCTTGTATTCGTTTCACTTTTACATAAGACGTTCTAAGATATATTTGTGTGACTTGCAAAAAGGAGACATGTATTATAAATTTTAAAAGGAGTGGATAAGTTAAAAAAAAAAAAAAAGTGATTTGAAGACTGAAAATAAAATAAAAAATAAATGATTTCCGATACATCAAAAGATTCTGCTTTGTCACAGTGTCACTAAGATTGACCGCAGTAGAAATTTTGTGTTTTCCAACAATGGATCCCGTTGGTGTGAGTCTCAAGATTCACACCCCGTTTAGCTAAAAAAAGCCAAGCTTCTAAATGACTTTTTCTATCCAACTGTTTACTCTGTATCGCACTCATGCAACAAACTTGTTGAGAAATCACCATCAGTTAAATTCCGTTATCATCACATGCATCTCATCTGCATCTCTTCGCCGAACTTCAGCCAAAAAGACCATATTGCGTCTGTTTTGTTCTTGTCATACTTTTTTGAGTTCGTTTAGAATGCGTAGTTACCTCATAACTGATATTTTTTATGCGGGACTATTTTTGACAAAAGAGTCTCTTTCGTGGCGTCCCAAATTGTTAATATTAAAGTGCATGAATATTAATATCAAGTATGCAAACAAAAAACCAAACAAATCATTTCTTTTACGTGAAACAAACAAATGGGGGGCTGGTGTAACTGAAGTACAGTGGTGCCGCAAAAAAAAAAAAAAAAACTGAGGGAAGCGGGGGGAATTTTTTTTTCGAGATATTCGAAACGTGATTGATGATGGCATATTCCGTAGTTCATCTCGCATCTCCAAAGTTATGCGCATCTCCCGTCAAGAGTGATTTTAGCCGACTGATTAATCTCCGCCATACTTTATGCTACATCTGAGTTGTTTGATCTTGTTCCCGTTTGAACCGCAGGACACCGCAGATTGCGGATATGCAAAAGCCAACCCGCGCATGGTTATATGCATGATGTGTTTTATCCAATAATATCTCTATTTGACACCGCGTTCGCGTGGGAGCCAAATTTCCGTTAGAAACATTTCCGCGCCACAAGGGGGAGAAAAACCATGCAACGACTCCTCGACTGAGAAACTAATTTCGCATGACTAATAAGTCGTACACGTGGAAACACGAAACACATATTTCACATGCACAGGAGATTTCTTACGGCAAAAGGAAAAAAAAATAGCGGAGAAAAAACATCGCTTACCAGCAATCTGGTATTGCTTGCCGTGAAGCTGAAAGACAAACAATTCCTTTTTGCAGACTTTCCCAAAAGAAATCAGAGTTCAATTGGCATGGCATAAATTTGGGACACTAAAATGGAAGACGTCTCGCTGATGAGCAGTTGCGTCATGCCTATCGTACTAATATGACACGAAACTCGAAGAGTTCCAATGCTGGTTGACAAATTGTGCTATGCTTGCAACACAAGCAAGCGTGGTTTTCATACGTACATTGCTGTAAACAATTTGTTTTCACAATCTTGTCTGTCTATGCTTTCTTCGTTTCTTCGTCGATCCATTGCATCGCCTAGTGACTGAAACGTCATTGATTATCAGAATGCTCAAGAAGCAAACCGATGAGAAGCGCTGGACCCGGTAAAGGTTAGGGATAATAATAAGAGCATAGCAACATTTAACGCACTGCTATTTGTGTGCAATTGTTTATACTGTCGACAACTGATACAATTCCTCAATCGAATTAAGAAAAGGTCGATTAGTCTACGATCCATTGATGGAGAATGTTTTCGTATTTCCTCGACTGCTCTTTATATTTCATTGATATTTAGATAATGTACTAATAAGCGCTCTGTTTAATACGAAACACGCCGTAGTAGTGGGGATAGATTTTACGTATTTATCGCGTTCTGCTGATTTAATGTGAAATACCTCTTTTTTTTTCGAGACGTTCATTATTACACAGTTGGATGTAGGACGTTTTTCATCGTCGGTGAACGATGGATTTTCGTTAGATTTCTAACTTCTATCCAATTATAAGAGTCAATTATCCATCACAGCGTTCGTAATGCCATGAATAAAACATGACCCTTGTTGATCCTAGCATGGGTTTAGATTCTTGATACGCGAAGTGTTAATAGTAAAACGTTGAAATAAATATTATTTCACACACGTACCATGCAATTAGTCGTTGCATCTTGAACTTAAACAAGTATAATTGGTTAGAAATTAAGAATTGAAATAATGCTCCTTTCCTCCTCTTTAATTGTTTGTTAAAGTACCTTTTATCGGACCTGTTAGAAGACACCGAGCGAGTAATTAAATAAGAATGCAACAATACGCGAAGCGGAGACGATGATGGAGAAGTAATGAGCATGTGTCTTGTCTTGAAAGCGTTAATAAAGAGCACTTTTATTGCCTGCACAATCACCTGGCGGGATATTATTTGTCACGCATTCATGATAAATACTGCGAATATAAATAAAAATGTTGCAAACTATAAATCGGACCATCAAAGTTTCTTAAGTTATGTACCAATAAACACTTTGCATTCATTTACGGAAGTAAAAAACAAGTGGAAATTACCTCAACATTGAAGACGTTTCTTGTGCAACATATTAATATGATGACACAGTGATCGGCAGAAATTTTTTCAAACTTTTTCTAAATTATCGCAAAACTTGTAAAGAATCATGGGTAAACGAGATAAGAAAACTGGGAAAGGTGAGAATGCTGCGTCGTAATGGCTAAAGAAGGGTATAATTTATAACAGCATTCTTAATTTATGTGACCGAACAGGTCGTCTGGATAAGTACTATCACTTGGCGAAAGACCAAGGCTATCGTGCTCGCTCTGCTTTCAAGCTCATTCAAATAAATAAGAAATACAATTTCCTCGAAAAGTCGCGTGTATTGATAGATCTATGCGCTGCTCCTGGTGGTTGGTGAGTTTTTTTAGACCCAGTGTTGATTAATCGAATGCATCGTTTACATTCTTATTTGCGTCTAGGTTACAGGTGGCTAAAAAGTATATGCCCAGTCAGAGTCTTATAATAGGTTTGACTATCATTAAATAATTGCAATGTAAAGCTTTTCCCCCGTTTAATTAGATATGGTAATAATATTTGCTTGTCGTTTCTGTCCATCGATAGGCGTTGATCTAGTACCAATAAAACCTATACCCGGAATAATAACATTACAAGATGACATAACAAGTGACAAATGCAGAGCAAATCTACGAGCAGAGCTAAAGCACTGGAAAGCTGATGTGTAAGCATTTATGAAACAAACTTTTTAATTATTACATTATCACTTATTCCTGTTTGCATTGTCAATTCTTGTAAACCCAGAATTTTGCACGATGGCGCTCCCAACGTTGGTGTTGCATGGATACAAGACGCATATTCGCAATGTGAATTGACATTGATGGCTTTAAAACTGTCCGTTGGGTTTCTGACGCAAGGAGGTGAATAAATAGTAAAGAGCAAGAACATTCTTATTATTGTGTGGATCAATAGGATGACAAGAATTGTTGTAACATATTGAGGATGATTTTATGGTAGGAATCTTTGTGACTAAGGTGTTTAGATCAGCAGACTATAATAACCTATTGTGGGTGTTTAATCAGCTGTTTAAGAGCGTTGAAGCGACCAAGCCAGCATCTTCGAGGTATGGATGACGACGTGAAATGAAATGATGTGACGCAAAAATGTTACGTGTCTTTCTCATGCAATATCTACTTTTTTAAATCAGAATCGTTTCTGCGGAAATATTTGTGATATGTCGCGATTTTATAGCTCCCAAAAAAATCGACCCAAAACTTCTTGATCCGCGTGCAGTATTCAAAGAACTCAATGCTGGCCCATCTCGTATTCTGGATATCCTCCATCCTGAAAAAAAAAGGCGACACCGAGAAGGCTATGAAGATGGCAACTACACATTATTTAAATCAGTATCTGCCATAGAGTTTATTGATTCGGAAGATCCCATTAAACTTCTTGGAGATGTTAACCAAATAACATTCGACAATGAGGAAGCAATGGAATTGCGCCAACACAAGTATACAAATGAAGATATTAGGACTTCGTGTGAGGATATTAAAGTCTTAGGAAAGAGAGAGTTTAAGGATTTGCTAAAGTGGAGGAAGAAAATTAGAGAGTGGGTAAGTCCAAGTCGTTAGAAAAAATGCGCACAGGAGCCGATGGAAAGTGCAGTGGTGTTAATATATTAAAACATTTATAACGACAGTTAGGTAAAGATGGAAAAAAAGAAAAAGAAGATGACGAAAAAGAAGATGCTGCTAAGCAGGAGGCTGAACCAGAGGATGAGGATAAAGCCATTCAGGAAGAGGTATATAAAAAAAATAAACTATTGCACTCGCTGTCACTTATTTTACTTGGACGTTTCATTAATGTTATGCAATATTGTAATTCAATAGCTCGACAGACTTGTGCAGGAGTCAAAAACAAAAACAAAGAAACTGCGACGTAAAGCAAATGAAAAACGACAAAAGAGTGTTGTTCGAATGCAACTTAATATGATCACACCTGCTGACATTGGGATAGAGAGTAATAAAACCGGCGAGCTTATGTTCGACCCCAAGGAAGTCGATGGAACAGAGGCAAGTATTATTGGCATGATTGCTGTTGTTGGGACTGCTGTTGTTATGACTGCTGGTGTTAACATACATTGCCGCTCAACGTACATGTTGTCACTAGGCTTTAGATAAATTACGGAAAGGCAAAGGGGAATTAGTCCTCGATGAAGAAGAACTTAATGATGATGATATATTTATTAGCGAAGGTGAAGATGAAGATGTTGAGGGTATTGGCCCTGAAATTGCCGCGTTGGAGGCAGAGTTGGATGCTTTGGATGCTTTGGATGAATCAGATAGTGACAATCTCGATGAACTGGAGGCTGACATGGACAACTTGTAAGTAAGCTTGATTTAATATGCGTATATGTACAGAATTATTATGGTTAACGTTGCGTTCCGTGCCATGCCACTAGATACGAAGAATACAAAGAGCGCAGAGCGGAACGGGATGCAAAATATGCTGCACTCAAGCGAAAAGCCGAAAAGGTCAATATTGGTTGGGTTTGGTTTTTTTGTTTGTTTTTTTTTTGTGCGCAATTTTCCTTCTCACGAAATATCTCAATGTTATTAGATGGAGGGATTGTCAGAAGATGTTGCAGTCGATGACATGGAAGTAGATTCAATCTCAAAAGGGAATGATACCGATTTATCGGATAAAGAAGAGAAAATCGTTGAACAAGACCAAGGTATAATATAATATCCACTTTTGCTTTGCCTTTTTATTTGACACGTATCATTCTTACGTATATCATTGATTTTGCCCCAGAACAATCCGAGTCGGGAGATGCAAAGAGTAATACACTCAAGCGTAAAGCAGAAGAGGTTAGTCGTTAAATAATTGTGAGCATTTGGGCGTATTATTGTTATATCTCACCGGATTATATTTGACCTTGTTAGATGGATGAATCCTCAGATGACACAGAAGACGATGATATAGAAATAGTTCCAAAGGCAGATGAAAGCGAAGAAGAGATGTGGGATGCTAACGCATCAGATGAAGACGAGGAAAAAATGAAAAAAGCTCAAAGTAATATTTTTAGCATTGGTTTTGCTCCTGATACATAGACTCGCCATCTTTCACGGCCTTATTCGCTATAAACGCTTATTAAACTCAATTGCTCCATTGCCCACCCTCTTTCCATACATAATCTAGCCTACGGATTAACAACAGCCGAAGCAATAACTCTAGCACAGCAATTAGTAAACCGACAAAAAACCACTGGGTCTTTGATCGATGACGGGTTCAATCGTCATGCCTTTAACGATCGTATTGGCCTGCCCTCATGGTTCCTCGATGACGAAACAAAACACAATAAACCTAATCTGCCCGTTACCAAAGAGGCCATCCGCGTTCTACGAGAACGCATGAAAGCGCTTAATGCTCGACCGATCAAGAAGATTGCAGAGGCAAAGGCTAGGAAAAAGATGAGGGCGGTGAAAAAACTAACAAAATTACAGAAAAAGACCGAAGCCGTTGCTGAGGGTAAGGATATGACAGAGAGAGAGAAAGCAGATGTTATTGCAAAGATGGTGAATAAAGCAGCAACGACAAAGAAGAGACAAGTTAAAGTAGTTGTTGCGAGAGGGACAAATAAAGGAAACAAAGGACGGCCTAAAGGTGTAAAGGGACGTTATAAGGTGAGTGGATGCGTATTGAGTGAATACTTTTTATATCATGTACAAAGTATGAACACAAAATTGCCTTGTTTTTGTTCAGATGGTAGATGCGAGAATGAAGAAAGAAGTTCGTGCTCTGAAAAGAGCCGACAAACATGGTAAAAATTCAAAGAAACAAAAGCGGTAACGATTAATAAAGTGCGAATTACTACATTACCCGGGTTGTCATCATTGCTATTGTTATGGGAATGTTCTTGTAAATTACCCGCATTGTCACGAGTTAGTGCGTTCTTTTATTGCCGAACGTTCAAAACCCAAATAAAAACGAATCTAAACGTTTAATTCATATTCCCGATGCCAACCAGCTGTTGGTTGTGCACCAATCTAGATTATTTATCTTGTTATTTATTCAATCATACATTTTTACATCATGTCGCGTCCCAGCAACTGTGTGTATGTGTTTTTTTGCGTTCGTTTTTTGGTTAAAAACTTCATTGTTAATGTCGTTAACTTTAAAGAGAGAAGAATCAACATCAATGAAAAGCATGATATTTGCATATCTTTAAGAGGCGTTTCTGCGCACCGCAAAATTGATAAAGGTTTGCCCTGCGCTAGCGACTACAAACAAAAATAGAAATTAAATCGCTTTGCAAGGTTTAAAAGCGAACGCAGAAAGAGACGATAGAAGTTTGTTGCTGTATTATTCAGACAAACGCGTTTTGCTGTTTTCTAGTTAAACATAGAAAACAATCGTCCTAATCAGTTTAGTATGCTAAATAGAAATTTTGCAATAATGATTTGCGCCAAATATAAAAGGTTAACACTATCGTTACGCAGTTTTCAACGGTGCCGTTACCATTGCTGTTACGGTTACTGGTTACAAGTACTTTGTCGGGAATTATGAATGATTTACAAATTGCACGATTCGGGATTTGAGAGTATGTATGTATATAGTAATAGTGAACTCTCCATAAACCGCGCTATTGACGTATTAGGTTGCTGATAGTTAACCGGGGGATGTTACCAAGCTTAGCTCATACTACCGCTCTTACTCTGGTAGCTGTACAATTTATGTTTTGAGTGATCTAAAAATTAATAAATTCATTATTCGTGCGTTTATACGATGTATTTTCTACTCGTATCTAAATAAGGGTGCCAACGATTATCAAACAACAACAATTTAATAATCGTTGAATCGATGGGGAATTTAGGTTTAAAAATTTAATTCAGGGCAATCTTCGATTTGGTATTTTGACTAGTCAATATCGTCACTCACTATCTATACGTTTATAATAAGAAGGGTATGAGTCTAGACTGTGTCGATAAAATTGACGCCGCGTAATTGCGATGGTAAACTAGTTGATTACCCATATAAATTGTAGCAGGAGAAAATGTATAATTTCTAGGGTTACACTTTTCTTAAAGACTTCCACAGCTTTTTATTCCGCGTGGTTATGGGATTTACATATTAGCTGAGTACCGAGTCTTATACTAGCCTGTTACGTTCAGTCACCTGGGAGAGCGTTTGTGTCCAAATTTGATTCTCAAAGTTAGCTCTAAATGTGGTCTTTCGCGTCAATTAAGGCGGGCGTAGCTAAAAAATTGCAGGCAGCTCTTTATACCTCCTATTGCCAAGGTATAAAACATGCTGTGCTAAACTATCTAATTAGAAAATAAAAATCTTGCACCAATAATCGAACTATTTTTCCTGTCTGGTCTGGTACTCCGCGTCCGCTTAACTACAACTAGATATTAATCCAGCTTCCGTAAGCTGGCCTATCCGGCTTAATATTAATTTAGCCTCCTACTTCCGTTCAGCAACAACGACGCACAAGAATAGAACTATTACTAGAACAACAGCTAATAATAATCTTTAGTCGAAGAATGTATTGTTCATAAAAGGGCAATAAATTTCGCGCGTCTAATTAATTTCTTATACTCGTTCTCAGCCGCTTCTAGTGAGTCCAATTAATAATCGTAGGACGATAATTTTACTACCGATCGTAGTATTTTACTTAAATATGAATAATATTATTTACTTATGCTCAACAGACTACAACAATTTTTAGTGTCCATTACACTTTCTCAGCGAAATTTTTTGGACTGGCCCTCCAATAGTCCAGACTTAAACCCAATCGAAAATCTTTGGCTATTGTCAAAAGAAATATAGAAATACGTGTGCCTAAAATCTTTCAGTATATGGCAGATGGATGGACAGAATTCTGAATAGCATTCTAATTAACTGTATCGGATCAATGAGATAACAACGATGAGAGAATAAATTATTTTAAGCTTTATTTTTTTTTTTTTTTTTTTTTTTTTGGTTAAGATAAAAATCTCAAAAACTTTTATTACACTGTAAATCTCTGAGTTATTTGATGGATTTTATTTAGAAACCTCATTTCAGACTTTAAGTCATTTGTCCCATAAATTCATACTTTTTTCTAACTACCATAGTTAAATGTTTCGGACTTAGATTTCGGTAGAGCTGCGAAATGACCATCATCCTGAACTACTCTATCTCAGTACTGCAGAAATCACTTGATCAAATCGCTGTTCCCCTCCTTAATAGCGTTGAGCCGTTCTTGAAAGATTTCAAACTGTGCCAACAGTTTGCTCTTCGGCTCTTCCGCTCCCAGCTCTAGACTACACTCTAAGTCCTCTACTCTATTAAAAGAATATAAATTTTACTAGTTATAAAATAGGCTAATTAATAGAACAATATATGTAAGTAAGAGTCATATTAGAACAATATATGTAAGTAAGAGTCACATGATTTTTCTATATCGATGCTATTACTTTCATCTCCTCAACGCCGTCTAATAGCGGCACAATTGTTGCAGCCATCTATTCGGCCATCAACTACTCTTCCTTTATGGTTTCGCCGCTTTCCTCTACTACCGCACTTTCTATGATTCGGGCGTAGTTGCTTTCCATGAAATCTTATAGTCTGTCTCCAAAACTCCGTTCTGGTGGAGGTCTTTAGTAACGAGAAAACAGTATAAATTATATTGTTACTCAAGTCAAGTCTCTGAAGGTTAAGTCTGGTCTGGATTGTTGCCGCATCTTTCAGTAAGATAGGTTGTGGCAACAGTCGGTAGTTGGTCGGAATACATATTAGATCGATCGGTTATTGAAGGAGAGTTTCGAGTCCCTTATTGAAGGAGAAGTTGTACGTGATGGTATTAAGGTTAGCTTGCCGGAGAAAGCCTTTCCAATACAGCAGCGTCCCAACAGGAGTGTTCGATTTTGTCTTTATATATATACTTTTTACTGCAACAATATCTACTAATTTGACGAGGGCATGGGCGCGTGCATTCACTTTGAAAAATTCATCTGCCGTACATCATATTTGATTGAGGTAAGTAAAGTTGTATTTGCGCTCAATGGAGAGAAGCGTCTGGTTATATATGTACGAGTAGACGCGTGTTCATGTGTTAGATGACACATGTTGGTACTACTTGATATGATTAATTGCTGTCGTACCGTCCTTATAAGTATAAATGCGTGTGAAAGTCTGCGACTGTCAACCAATGGTAAAGCATAAACGGACATCAAAATATATTAATATTGCCTAGTGTAACACATCATTACATCATATCGCGATTGTTTTCGCAATAAGAACAATATTAATATTTTACTGCGTAATAAGTACGCGTATAATTTTAATTAAACTTACAAACATGCCTCTCAACTAAGCATACTGGTAGTAATGGTCGCCCAAGAAAAATCACCGGAAATGCCTCGAAAGCGCTCGGGCAATACGTTCGGCGAGACACTTCCTTGTCAACACAAACTTTGGCGTAAGTGTGATGCATGCAACAATTGCAATGACCTTGATATAAAAAACCCCTCCCAAGTACCAAGAGCCACACCTATGCTTACAAACAAAAACGTGTAGAATGGGCTCAAAAGCATCTTAACGACGATTGGAATCGGACTATATTCTCAGATAAGACAGCATTCCAACTCTTTCGGAACGCTGTAGAATGTTGGCATAAGGCAGTTTGTTGTGTGCCGAAAGATCGAACAGAAATCATGGCGTGGGGTGGATTCCATATTTTATGTCGAAATTTTGCAGCAATATTTCCCAGAAATTGACCAAATGCTTGGGGTGAGTAAATGGAGGTGGACTAGCAACAATAAGCAACTCGATGAGTTTATTAAGAAATCTCAATTACAAACAAACTCAGCAAATGACCCCTATTTGGAATGGATTCCATACAATTGTATTGATGATTGGGGAGATAATGAAGGATACTTGGATGGTCTACCTACTCGTGTGTATGTTAAATCGATTCCACTTGAAATAACAGACGAGACACATGATTTATATAATGCCGAGGTAAATTATTTACTTATGCGTCACGTTTATCGAATTGTTTATAATTATTGACATATTCTTTCCATTAGTTATATGAGCATCCAGATATTCTTACCACGGATGTTTGGGTTACCATCGGATTCACATATGATGAAAGTAAACAAAAGTATTGTCTAATAAAAAAATGTCATGAGAGTGGATTATATCTGGCGTGTGCAAGGCGATTAAAACCTAAGATAAATGCATTCTGTTTCGAATGTAAAGCATCAAGACCTATGGATTGGATTACGGGCAACAAGTCATTGGATTCATTTATTATGGAGTCGTGGAGTAATACGAGTAACGATGATGATGCCTATATACAATGGATAGAGTATTCTCTATTGATGAATGTACGAGACATGACCTCATTACGCCATGGATGCACACATATAGCGACAATAAAT